ACTCCAGGTAGGGGCTGGAGGGATGGGCGCTGCTGGGAGCTCCCTGTGGGCTCTGTACGTTTCCAGATGTATCAAGATGTCCCTGCTTACACCAATCCCAACCCCGTGGAGCAGGCACCATCACCCCTGTGCACAAGCAGGGACACTGAGGCACACAGGGGGCACGCTAGTGGCCCAAGGTTAGAGCTAGAAAGTGCGGATGTGGGACCCAAGCAAGACCACCTGACTCAGGAGCCTGGACAGAAGCCACTGGCCACCAGCTCTTACCAACAGAGAGAAAGTGGGACTTGGAGCATCAACAGTGACACAGTGTGCAGGGAACCCATTGGAGTCTGCAGGTCACTGGTGCCTCAGTGCAGGACGGCGGCTCCTGGGGGTGGCCGTGGGCCGGGACAATGGGAATGGCTGAAGGGCGAGTGGCTGGGGGCTGCATTCAGGTACATAGGGATCCTCTCAGGAAAAGGACGCAGTGTGCACTTCTCAGGGGCTGCCTGAGGCACCCAAGCGCAGGGAGAAGTGGGCCCACAGGGGCAGGGGCCGGGGCCCTACAGGCTAAGGTGGCAGGGTGGGGGAACTTCGCTCCTCTTGCTCCCCTCTGCGTCTGCTGCTCCCCACTCTTTACCGAGTAGCCCAGGTCCAGACTTCTGATCACGCCAGGCCAATCTCCTTGCGGGCACATCGATCTGCAGCCCCCTGCCGTTTCTTCTTATCCGATGTGGGGGCTACGACTTCTCTCGAAGCGCTGGACAGATTCAGGACAGGATGCTGGGAATTGCTTCCTGCAGGTGCTGCGGGGGCCTGACTCCTGTCAGGTTCCCTGTGACTGTTCAGCTTGATGCCAACTTGATTGGGCTGGGTGCTGCCTGGGGCCTTAGTGAAGCCCCCTCTTGCTGTGGCTGGAGGGCTGGGGCCCTGGCCTCAGGGTGCACGTCGGTCCCCGGCCCCTTCCGCCCTGGCACTGCTCCCTGCTCTGCTCCTGGGCCATCAGGAAGCAGGCAGCTCTGCTTCACTCTGCTGCTCCCATGTTGGCCATGGACTGAATTCTCTAGAACTGTGAGCCCAGTAAACCTCTCCTTTACAGTGTGGGTGTCTGGTACTTTGCCTAATACGCCCACAGATGTGACACCTTTTCTGACCCCAGGATCAAAGGCAGTTCTGCACTCCACCAAATCCCCGGAGCAGGGCCTGTTTTGGAACTCATCGTCCTCATCTCCCAGCATGCTGTGTGGGCATTGAGTACACACATCCTTCCCTACATGTGCTCTGGGACCATCCTAGGGGATGTGGACCCTCTCAGGGAGTGGGCATCTGTGGAGATTGCTTAGCCTCGGCAGGTTTCTCAGACACCAGGCTGTGTGTGTGTGTGTGTGTGTGTGTGTGTGTGTGTGTGTATGTGTGTGTATGGGGGGCCTGAGCTCTGAGAAGTTCAGGACAGTGACCAGGAGTCGAAGGCACAGGCAAGACATGCCTTCTGAGCCTTGCTAAGGGCAGCTATGACCTCAGCTGCTCCACGGAGGAGGTAGGTGGGGCTCAGAAGCAGACCTGAGGCTTGAAGCTCAATCTGTGGCATGACAGCCTCCAAAAGGAGACCTGCCTGAGCCCACTGGGGGCTGCTGGGTGTCTCCCAGAGCTGCCTGCTTTGCGGGAGGGAACATGCTATGTGGAGAGAGTGCAGAGCAGGGGCTCCCCAGGGCCACGCCCGAGGCAAGTGGGAATTCGGAGGGACGGTACTTTTCTGATACAACAGGGCAAGGGGGGCATCAGGCCAACACTGAGCCTGGCTGGTTCTCGAGGGCCTTGATGGTGTTCACAGTCTGTGAGAGGCGGGGCAGCTGTGTGTGAGGAGGGCCTGGAGGCCTGCTCCCAGGGCCTATCACACGCCCATTCCACCCCAGCAGCTGGTATCCACCTGCTTCTGGCTGCTCAGGGGAGGATGGGTCCTCCCCATGCCACTCTGCCCTAGACCGAAGATACCGACGTGGCCTGGGAGGCTGCCCGGGGCTTTTCTTCTGCACCACCTTTCCCCACTGCCACACGGTTCTCTTGGTGCTTGTTCAGAAAGAAATTTACCATAGAGCAAACACTGCCAGGTCTAGTAGCCCAGCACCTGATGGGTAGGTCCTTGTTCTTCTTGGGTGGAGAGACAGCCTAAGTGAGAACTGTATCACAAATACACCTCTATCCCCATTGCTGGCTTCTGAGTGCCAACACCACAGCCCACCCCTACCGAGGGAAAGTAAACTGCACCCCCTTGAGAGAGAGTTCAAGTCTCAAAAGTCAATGAAGATGTGAAGCCATGTGTTTGGGAGACCACAGAGTAGGCTTCAATCTGGATTTTCTAACCTTCACGTATACTTTCCTAATCACATTAGTCCGTTTGAGGGCCCAAGATGACCCAAAGAGCCTGGAAGCAGCCCTGTTCCCGGGTCCTGCTAGTGAGCCCAGCAGAAAACCAGTGCACTTATGGGGCCTTGAGTTCCTGTTTGTGACAGTACCTACCTGGGGGGACACACCTGTGATGGCTGAAAATGAGATGATACACAATTTGTGCTATACCCCTGCAGCAGGCAGGAAGAGTTAGCTGTCCTGAGTCAGGACTGTAGTAGAGCCCGGTGGACAGAGAACAGGGGCTTCAGAGAGTCTGTGGCCCTGTCTCTCAGGATGCCGTGTCCCCTGGAGGGCTAGGCACCATCTGAGTCACACTCTAGCTCCTATGGCTGCCTTTCTCACCCCCTTATTCCTGAACCTGGACTTCTAATGATTTCCAGGGAACTTAACTCTGGTGCCAACCTGATTTGGATGGTGTTTATTGGATGCCCTTGAATAAATTACTCAAGTGGAGTATTTAAAAAAATACCATCTTTCAGCATGGGTGCATTCAGCATCCCCTCTGGATCTTAGGCTCAAACACAAACCTGAATGCTCAGCAAACGAATGCTCCTAGAGGACCCTTTCATAGACAGGGCCTATGTCATGGCATCTTACATCGTGACGCTGGAAGTCAGAAAGGCATTTTGATACTGTATGTAGTTATATGACTTGCAGAACTACTATTAAAGCTTATGAAATGAGATTGTATGCACATAGATATTAACCTTACAAGACACCCAGGGTACAATGAAAAACGATCATGTCGCTTGACTGTAAACTCACAAACATAACCGAACACAGGACAGAAGCTTATGATGACAGAAGAAAATGGAAGGACGTGGGTGGGGACTCGGCTACGCGGTTATTTACTTGGGAATCCCCACAACTGCTGCTGCCAAGGAGCCTGAGGCTGGCAAAGCTGCCAGCAGCCACTGAGCCAGCTGAGCCATGGCGGGTGGTGTCGCAAGTTACCTGGTCGGGTGTGCTGTGGGGCTGGTGCTCCTGTGAGTCGTGGCACTGGGTGCATTCTCACCTGGAAGGCCCTGCAGGTCTCAGGTGAGGGCTGTCCACCCTCAGCCCAAGGGGCCAAGCCTAGGTCGTGTCACTGTTCCTGGTTCGGTATTCAATGGCATTTAAAATCAGACCTCACAACTTTGTTTTTTTAAGGCTAGAAGTCAATGAACACATTGGCAGTGACAAGCCCACATGCATACAAAAGAAACACGAGTTGGATAAGGACATAGGGACGAGAAGTGATGTGCTCCTGGGTGGGCCGCAAGGGAGGGCACTGGCACCCCCGGATGCAACAAGACAATTCCAAATGGGACTGCTTCTTGAGTCCATTTTTTTTCTTGCTTGTTCTTTTTTTTTTTTTGAATGCTGAAAAAAAAGACACCAATGGGCCAAGCTCCACTGGTACCTTAACAGACAATTTTCCCTCGAGGAACAACAACAATAAAAATTGTGATTAAAAAATGGCTCTTTAACAAGCCATCGTGCAAATGTAGTTGTTTTCCAAATTCATTTTTTGTTCTGGCTGAGAGCAGGGTTTTCAGCAGCGAGACAGGAGTAATTGTGAAAAGAAGAAAAAAGAGGATGGTGTTATAAATCAGCAAAGGTTAATGACCGGGATGTGAAGAAGGGACTTGTTTACAGAAATAGTGTGCAATTTAAAATTTACAAGAGATTTAATGCCACTGCTTGGCAATCGCTAAAATCAACAGCCCAGAAAACAGTGACATTAAGAAAAATATTACAGTTATAATCATCCCAAATAAGTCAATTAGTGTTAGGGCATGAGCTCACGATTACTTGACCCATTTGGCTTGCACTTAAGTGAAAAAAAATTTCCCCCATTATCCCAAGCTCGCTGGATTGTGACCTGCTTTGCATCGTACATATTCTACACCAGCCTCCCTTCCGTGTGTCGGGTTGGTGGGGCTGGATTTTCCCTTGCCTGGCATCAAAATAATTCTAACCCTTGACATTTGTAATCATAAAAAAAAGGCAATTTATAATTGTGTTGTTCAAATGAAGGTGGGGGAAAAATTCAATCTGCTATTATACAGGAGCAATGACGGCTGTCTTCGGTGAAAAAAGCAACCCGAGTCAATTTGTGAACTTTGGCACCAGGCGACCTTTAGAAACACAACAATATACTGAATTTACAAGCAATAGCAGCCCATGCAAATGGTCCAGGCCTGCCTGCCTCTGGATTAGAGCCGCGGCGAGCATTATGGAGAACGCTTCCGCAAAACAAATTAAGACTGTTACTTAAATGTCACGGCACACTATTGTATTTGGCTACAGATCATTACACCTGATACTAACACTTTTAAAAACTGTAATAACTTGGGAAATATTACATTGAGTGCCCACATGTATAAAGGAAAAGAAAAAAGAGGAGAAAATAGGTTTCTGAAGTAATTTAAACATCACTACTCTACGACTGAAGGAAAGGTCAAATTTTAAGTAAGCTGAAAGGAACATGAATGGCAAAATAAAACACACAAACAAAAAGATGGAGAAGACCGCAGGAATGAGTCCGCAAACACAACACGGAAGCATGCGGCCGGGCGGGCGTGTGGCCGCGGCTGGGCGCGAGGGGAGGCGCGGAGGGGCGCGGTTACCTTCAGTGTTGGTGCTGCTGCTGCTGTATATATTTCGCAGGCTACCAACACGGTTTAGTTTCCACGCTTTGCGTTTGGCTGCATCCCGACAGCAGAGAGGGGAGAGGGGGAGAAGAGAGAAAACAAAAAGGAAGAAGAAAACAAATGAAAAAGGGGAGAAAAGAAAGGTCAAAGTAGCACATGACGTCGTCTCTGAGCCGCAGGTGCGTGCCAGGCTGGGGGGAGCCTAGTGCCTCCTGGCCCGGCCTGCCACTCCTGGCGCCCACGCAGAGAGGCTCAGCAAGGCAGCAGTGCCCTAAGGATGCACAAAATTAAAAATATGCCCAGGCAAAGAAATGCCTGCACCCCCTTTCAAATGTTGGCCACTCAGCAGGGTGCACGCTGGCCCTTTCCTGGGGGGCTGTGGCCTCCTTGGAGAGGACCTTAGCAGCCTTGTGCTCTTCCAAATGTGGCAGAGTATCAGTAGCGTGTCAAATCAAGAGAGGCTGTTGATTAGCCGTTCGCGCCTACATATTGCAGAAGGTGGGTCTTTAAAACTGAGAGCTGTTGAAAGAGGAAGTGGATTTCACCAGGCTGACTCTAGGATGGAGGTGAAAGCCATTATTTTTCTTTCTTTTTTTTGGGGGGGGGGCTGGTACTGGGAATCAAACTCAGGACCTCACACTTGCCAGGCAGCACTGTGCCGCTGAGCTACCTCCCCGGCCCCAGAGGTCATTACCTACGTGGCAGGCTATGGAAGCGAGCTCCTAGGGCCTGAAGACCAAATGCTCTCACAGGTTCCCTAGGAGCTGGTCCCTCAGGCCGACAGCAATGACCTGCTGGGGTGAGAGAGGCCCCCCAAACTCCAGGGACACATTTTCCACCCTGCCTGGCCTCCACCCTCCCAACCATGAGCCCAGGGGTGCCAACACTGTGGGCTGGAGAAGGCCAACCTGAGGACTTCTTTCAGCCTTCAGGAGGCACTGGACAGAGCAGCTGGGCTGCCACGCACACTGCAGGGCTGCACACGTGGACAGGCTCAGCAGCAGGACAGATGCTCACATCCCTGCAGGAGGGTGCCACAGGGCCACCTGTGTCTCTGCACATCCTCTGCACTAGAAGTGACATGAGTCGGAGAGTCCTTGGGGCTCTGTCTGGGTCACCACTTGTCCAATGTAAGGGACACACGGAGGTCATCTGGGGTCATGGCCATTTACACGTCACAGGGCTGGAGATGCTGAGAAAATGGCAGCTGAGGGCCCTCTGTCCTTGCACGTCATGCCCTGGCCAACGGTCCGCTGTCCAACTCTACCACAGTCCTGACTCAGGATGGCTTCACTCTTCCTGCCTGCTACAGGGATACTGCACAGATTCTCAACCTTGAGAACTGTGGTTTAGACCCTGGGTTCAGGCTCTGTGTTTGTATGGAGTTCTGGTGGCCAGAAAGTGACCAGGGCAGATGACCAGGGGGCATGACCAGGGGAGATGACCAGGAGTCTGTGCTGAGCTCTGCAAATCTCACTGGATTTCTTCAAGCACTTTAGATTTTCTTGTGGCCAAAACACAAAAGAGTACATGAGAGAAATTCGATCTTCAAAAAGAGCAAATGCAATTCTAAAACAGAGCATGGTCCATTCAGCATGCAAATTTTATAGTAATCCTAAGAACAAAAACTACTTTGATTTAAAATGCTAAGAAGCTGTCCTCACTGGAAGCCCAAGACGCACCTCACAGTTGGAACATCAGCAGACAAACTGTTAGGAAATGTGACCCCCAGAGCTGGTGACGGGAGAGCTTCTTTCACCACCTATGGGTGTGCATTTGATTTTCTGCGGGTGGAGAAGCCTCCGCATTTCTGCGTCTGCAGGCCTAACCATCTGTGAGGTCCTACCTCGGGGTCTGGCTCCGAATCACCACATGGGCAAAGGGATCTTTAGGCACTACCCAGAACAAATCCTGTGTATTAATAGTGAAAGAAACCAGGCTGATCAATTTTCAAATTTTTTAGCGATTTACTGGGCTCTGCAGGCATGCACGGCGGAGTGTGTGCACAATTAAATACGTGCCTAACTTGCCAACCGCTGAGGCTCTGGAGTTTTCAGATTTCACAAGTTCCAGAAGGAGGTAGCGCCACAGTTTGAGGACAGGTCGCACTCCTCTCTACCTCTTTCTAAAACATTTACATATAAATAGGCAGAATCTGGGGGCACCCCTGGAAGAGCTCACTCAGGAAACCTTGTCGCTGGCTGCTTTACGCCTTGCATTTTTCACACTCTGAGCTCCCATTACCGCAGGGATGTATAGGCAGGAAGTGAACTTGCAGCCTGGTTTTCTATTAACCTATTGATGAAATAATCAATTTTAATGTGTAAAATGTCATGCCTTTTCCTCTGTCTTAAACAAATGGCCATTCTTGGCTGAGATCAAGGTCCTCATATGTGTGCTTGTCTCCTGGGGCATTGATTGCTCTAAGTCGCCCTGTTTAGAATCTTCTTCGTGAGAAAATATAATCATGTTATCATCGATAGTGTCGCAGGGCCTGCTGCTGTCTGGTTTCCCTTCCATGGGGACCCAGACACTATGTCAAACAGCTCCCAGAGTGCGCCCATCTGCTGGCAGCAGCGTCCCCGGGCCTCAGGCATTGGCAGCTCGTGGGCCAGCTCGAGGCACTAAACTTCCCGGGTCACCTTTATTTTAATTAAAGTTTAAAAAAGCAAACTTTCTGGAACAAAGAGTAACACTTTGATTTTGTCATTACTGGTACAGCCTATAGACACTACTGTTTTAGTACCCAAATCCCACAAGTTAAGGAACGAAAGGCAGCGTGGTGTGAGCACTGTGTTGGAGCTTCTGGCCTACCGGGCTACCCCGCGAGTAGGCAGCAGCCTCTCCTGGACACAGGCTCTTACCCCGCTGCAGACAGCTGTGTAAGAGGCACGGCGCTCAGCACTGTCTCCCACACTTGAATACCCAAATACAAAGGCCACGGACACGAAATCCCACGACATCATCATTTCGGGTCTGTCACCAGCTCAGGTGCCAAACTGCAAGCTTGACCTCTTCTCGCTCCAGCTTACAAATGGAACAGAACTTTCTGAACTCTGGGTCAGCAGTAAAGTCAGAGAGCTGGCAAATGGGAGCCACGAGCAGGACCACAGAATGGCGCAGAAAGTGAGCTGAGGTTAGACAGCGGCTGCTGTACAACAGTCACAGTGAGAGGGTAGCCAAGCCAACATGGGTGGGAGAAACGAGATGGGAGATGTTGGCTCCCTCCGCACCCTGCATACGGTGCCTTTCCTGAGGATTAAGAGGATCCAAGCTGTAAAAACTGCAGGTAAGAGTACAGACCCTCCCCACCAATTAAGACGATGGAAAGTGTACTACTATGTCATCTAGCAATGGCACTGCTAATTTTACTTAAAATTAAATAATTTTAAGTGCTATGTCTTGTGGGTAGAGGTACTGGCACACTGAACTTACAGGCTGGTCCCTTTGGGTACCCCAAATCCTAGTGTGCATGAGTGTGCTGACGCCACATCTGGTTAGTTATTGGTGGGTCACCAGGGTGGCAGATGGGATGGGCAGCGTCTGGCCGAGCACCCGATTAAGCAGACTGGCACAGTCTACCTCACCGAGCACTTCTTGAAGATGTGCGCTATGACACGTGAGGAATTCCGTGTCTGTGTGGCTAGACGAGGTGCGGCCTCATACTCAACTCGTAATTACTAACAGACAGTCACAAGCTTTTGAAAGACAGAGAGAAAAGGGGGGAAAAGTGCAAATTATGGCTTTTTACTAAGTCTGAGTAGCTGGAATCATTTAGTGCTGACAATTCCCGGTGATTACGTTTCTTGCTTCTGGACGACAGCTTGCACAGGGGCCCGCGCAGCCGCAGGAGACCGCGGCATTCCTGCTCGAGTCTTGCCTTTAACCTTCGTTCACAGCTCACATTCCGGCACTATTATAGGGACTTTTAAAAGGAAAAACCCTTAATATTTGTTTCTCTAAATGAAAAAAAATTTTTTTACTCTAGCATACGAATGCCTGAAAACTAATCCGAGAGGGGTCTCCAACAAGACTCTGGGCGAGCTTCTTATACACAGGATAAAAGTACTCAGCTTGCTGGCATGCTCAAACAAGCAGGGTTTCATCCTAAAGTCTTCCTCTGGTATTGCACCAGGAAACCACAGACTTACCAGTATCACTTCTGGTCTCCTGACAGCACTCTTTGTTGATAAATATTCCTCAGATAGCTGATTAAAAAATGATGTCACCCCCATGTGTCCAAGGCTCATCCCCAAGTAGGCTGCACCAGTGCGTGTGGACCACATCCCGGCGTGGCCTGGGTGGGCAGCTCCGTGAGGCCAGCTGCAGCCTCAGAATCAATTATGAGAGCTAATGGGCTCTTCGTATCTTCACGGAGGAAGGGCGGGTTGAAGAGGTGTGTCACTCATTTCTGACAATGTCCTGTCTCAGGACGAAGCCACCAACCTTCTGCATTCACAGCAGCGGCGCAAGCTCGTACCTCTAGGAAAAGTCAAGCGATCACCTTGTCAGATAGTGCAGGTCCCTGTCTACCTCGGCGCTGCTCCCGTCTTTTTAAGGATGCCACTGGCGTAAATGCCACGAGTGCAGAGGGGGACACCTCTGCTCCTCGGCGTGCTGCAGGTTGACCGCGACACTGGCACTTTTTATAGGAAGCTCATTCCCCAGGAGCCTCTGCAGGCCTGAGCAGACGCTGCTGTGGTTTTGTGTTGCTTCGAGCTCAGTGTGACCGGTGTCCCACGATCTTTTGTCCTTGGCGACTGCATTGTGAGACTGGAGATCGGGATTTCTTTTGTGCCGGCCACTTGAACGTTCATTTACCCAACAAGACTTTGTAAATGTTCTGCTCTCTTACAAAAAGGCAGTGGATTTTTTTTTTCCCCAGAAGATGCAACCCAGAAGATTCTTACACTATGTGAACTCACTACTTCAGCTGTGAAGGGGCTTGACACGATGGCTGCTTCCTAGAGGACGCCTTGCCGAGAGGGACTCGTGTTGAGACGTCCCTCAAAAGGGCCTTTGAAAGGATTAAACAAAGCCCAAGGCCAAGCAAA